TAATTGTCGGCCTGCCTTTAGCACATGAACAGGTTCAAAAAGGTAGTTCAGCACCACAAGGGTAGCTAAGGAGGACCGATGCCTGTGTACCACAAGTAAAAAGGGCAAAAAGAAAAAAACAATAAGTTGCATTCAGTTTGTGTAGAATGTTGTTTTGGTCACGCAGTAGTGGATCCAATTCTGGGCACCTCCTGAGGAAAGATGTGAAGACATTAGGAGGAGTGCAAAAAGATTCATTAAATTGGTACCGAGGTAAGGAACATATGTTAGGCAGGTAGTTTGGAGAAGGTGGAACTGTTTTCCTTGCAAGAGAGGGTTGAGAGCAGATTTAAAAGAAGTATTCAGAAACATGAGGGATGTAGATGGACGGAAATAGGCAGGGGAAAATGAAGTTGTTGGTGTAAGAATAGAGAACAAGAAGGAACATAATTAAGGTAATGGGCAAAAGATGAAACTATGACAAACATTTTCATACAGTAAGTGGCTAGGATCTGGAATGCATTGGCTGAAAGTGTGGTTGAGATGCAAAACTGTGGGGTATTGGCACTAAATTATTCCTGTGGAGAGTCAGTGTGCAAACAAGGAATGAAATGGCTTCTTTCTGATTTTATTTTCAGCTTTCCAGTATCCACTGTATTTTGTTCATCCACAAGTAGCAACTTCCCTGGTTGGATAGAGAAAAGCATGCTTTGGCAGTGTGTGGTTGCGATCCAAACAAGCTTCTTCCCGGTCACTCTCCCCTCTTCCTGATGAGAGACTATCTATCTTACTGTTGAATATATCAAAGCTGTTTTGCATCAACCCCTCCAGGTGGACATGATCTGCACATTCCCATCGCCGTTTCAGTTAAAGGGGTGTCCCCCTGAAATATTTAAATGAATTTAAGTATTGTTTTCATGGCACAAGTTTCCATAATTTAAAGACCTCTATCAAATTACCTGTTTCTTTCTTTCTTGAACAAATGACCCAAATGATGCCCTGTCCTGCATCTTATTTTTGTTTTTTATTTCTCTAAATAACACTGTATCCTGCTAAATAACTAACTAATGGTAGCCTCTAAGTTTTGCTAAAATGTAAAACAAAACTAAGGACTGCAAATACTGGAAATATGAAACATAAACCGACAAAGGGTCGTTGAGCTCAAAATATTAACTGTTTTTCTCCCCATAGATGTAGCCAGACCTGCTGAGTTACTCCAGAAGTTTGTGTTCTACCATTTAGTTCCATAACATTACTTCATGCAAGTTGCATTTTGTCCTCTCCAATACTTTTAGGGAGAACTGTATGTTGAAAAAGAAATAACAAGTAGATGTGCTATTACTCATACCTTTATTAAAAAGTCTTAAATTATTGCATCTTTCTTGCAGTTTAAAGGAGGGTCAATTGTTGGCCAAGAATGTAAAACCTATTTGCAAAGTGAAAGAAAGAAAGAAACTTTGCTTCAATTTTCAAATGACGACTTGGTAAGCAGAGGACACAAGGAAAACTACCAGGAGACTCAAAACAAATTGCTGGAAAAGCTCAATACGTCTGTCAGCGTCTGTAGAGAGAAATCAGAGTTAATGTTTCAGGTTCAGTGACCCTTCCTGAGTCACTAGAGCTGAACCGTTAACTCTGGTTTCTCTCTGCAGAATCTGCCAGACCCGCTGAGCTTTTCCAGTAGTTTGTTTTTGTTTCTGATTTACAGCACCCACAGTTCTTTTGATTTTGGTTAAACTACCAGGAGATGTGATCCTGAGCTTCGTCTTTCAAACCAATAGTGATTACTTTGGTATTACTGAATTGTGAAATTTGGAATTATGCTGGATTAATCCTGGATTTATTGTTTGAATTTGATACTACACTAATCCACCACTGGCTTGTCTTGCAGTCAAGTTTGAATGTTTCTATTTGGCAAAATCTGGTACATGCATCTCCTTCTTCTCCCTTAGTTGATGGAACAACATTTAGGCAATGTGGCATATGAATTACCCAACTTTTTTTTTAATCTTCATGAACATACTGGTGCCATCATGCTGGAAGTCGTGGAAATGATGCCTTATGATCATTTGGATACAGAGAATGGTGGGACGGAAGGTTAAGATCCTATCATTCTTTTGGAAGGGAAGGGAAAGGACGGGGTGAGGGCAGAAGTGTGGGAAATGGGTCAGACACGGCTGAGGACCCTGTCAATAAGCATGGTTGATCTGGTTTAATGTGTGAATTGTCTATGACAGGGTTTTAATTGACCTTGCCATTCCTGGAAATAATACTTAATCAAATATAAGGGACATAACCTTATTTGGGCTCCTGAATGGTTTTTCACTTGCCTTTAGGGAGACCTGTATTGTAATGAGTGCCTTTGACATTCAGGCAATATTCGACTGAATGTGACATCAAGGAGCTCTGGCAAAACTGGGTTCACTGGGGACCTGGGAAAAGACTCCACTGGATGAAGCCCTCTTGAACACAAAGGAAGGTGGTTGGGTTGTTAGAGGCTGATTATCATCAGTTGCTTCTTCAGTGACCTTCACTATTCCATAAGGTCAGAAGTAGGGTTGTTTGTGGACTATTGCGCAATGTCAGCCCCATTCATGACTCCTTAGACACTGAAGCAGTGCATGTTTAAATATCCAGGCTTGGGCTGATGTGGCAAGTAACATTCATGCCACACAGGTGTCAGGCAGTGATCATCTCCAATGAGAAGGAATCTAACCATTGCTCCTTGAAATTCAATGGCATTACCACATTCCCCACCATCGACACCTGGGGCTTCATTAGAGGAGCAGGAGAGTCGATGTTGCGGTCCTAGATCCTCCTCCAGGACTGTGGAGGGGGAACGGAGCTGGGAAATAAATAGAGCAAAGAGGCTAGGGGAAGGTAGGTGGGATGGCGATAGGTGGATGCAGGTAAGGATTAGTCAGTGGGAAGGGTGGGGCAGATAGGTGGGGATGGAGATGGACAGGTAGTGTCAGGTCAAGGAGGCAGAAATTGGAGGGACGGTTGGATGTGGGATGAGGAGATTTTTGAAATTGGTGAATTCTATGTTTAGGCCATCAGGTTGCAGGCTTCTGAGGTGGAATATGAAGTGTTGTTCCTCCAGTTTGCCTGTGGCATTGAGGAGGCCGAGGATGCACATTTTACCTACTGAGTGGGAGGGGTAGTTAAAATGGTTAGTGACCGGAAGGTGGTGTTGATAGTGTACGAAGCTCAGGTGCTCCACAAATCTGTCAGTCTACATTTGGTTTGATGGATATAGAGGACACCACATCAGGAGCAACGGATATGGTAGACCAGGTTGGAGGATGTACAGGTGAACCCCTGTCAGATATGGAAAGTTTGTCTTGGGCCTCGGATAGATGTAAGAGAGGTGGTGTAGGGGCATGTGTAGCACCATCTGCAGTTGCAAAGAAAGGTGCCAGGTTTGGTGGGGAGTGGACTAGGGAGTAACGGAGTGAGCGGTTCCTACGAAAGGCAGATAGGGTGCTTTTCGTAGGGACCTCCCACTCCGTGATTCCCTCTGCCACTCTGCACTCCCCACCAGCCCCATCAAACCTGGTACCTTTCCTGGGTGACGAATGCATCTTAGGCCGCCTCCAGTGCCACAACAATGCCACACACAAACTGGAATAATAACACCTCATATTCTGCCTTGGGAGCTTACAATCGCCTAAACATAGAATTCACCAGTTTCAAAATCTCCTCATCCCATGTCCAACCCTCCTGTGTTCCTCTGGCCCTGTATAGACTCTGACTCCAGCATCTGCAGTTCTTGCTGTCTCCGAACATCTGGGGTTTACCATTGACCAGAAGTGGAACTGGGCTAGTCATATAAATACAGTGGCTACAATATCAAGTGAGAGACCAGGAATCCACTGACACACAACTCACCACCTGATTCCCCGGATCTTTCCTACCTACTTGCAAAGCACAAAATTTTCTTCCATGGGAGAGCACTTCCTTGATATTGGTTTCCTTTCTTCGTACCCTGGTGGCTTCTTTTGTAATCCAGGGGCTCAGGTTAGCACCGAGGGCATGGGTTGAAATTCTACTGCAGTGGCTGGTTGAATTTAAATTTAATTGCTAAACATGGAACATAGAGCTAGTACTAGCAATAGCGACCAAGAAATTTGTATCCATTTCTGTGCATTGTTTTTGTAGTGTAGTGATTATGAAGAGGAAAGTTTCATAATTCGCATTTAAATGGTGGAGGCAGGTTCAGTTGTGGCATTCAGCAGAGAATTGGATTAATCTGAAAGGAGGAATGTGAAAGATTATTGTGAGAAGGTCTATGAATGACATTGGGTATGTTCCTTATTCCAACATGACGGGCTAAATGGCAGACCCTCCTGTACTCTAACAATTTGGAGATTACTCAGTTTGAACAGAATACCACATGTATTAAAGATTATGGTTGTGATTGTTGGAGTTTGATATATGTCAGCTCAGACATTCTTTTAGTTTTTAATCATTTTTAAATTATGCATGAGAGTCACTCTATGACTTAAACAAGAAGCTTTGTAAAAAGAGTATCTCTGAGGAACAGTTGGAGAGGAAGAGCAAGTGTAGTGACAGTTGCAAGGGAATAGATATTCTCATACAAAGAATTTTGTAAGCATTCATGTATCTGTACAGCCAATGTAGACATGTTGGATAAATGTCAAGCTTAGAACCTCAGAGCTGGGTAACGTGGGCTTTTGGAAGCTTTAAGTCAGCATGTGATTCTTTGAAATATAGGGAAAGGTCAGGGGAATTGGACTAATTGGATAGTTCTTGCAAAGAATTGCTGCAAAAAGACAGTCGTCTGACTTTTAACACATCATTCTGATTTTTTTGACAGCAAGCCTCTGCAATTATGTTGGTTAGAATTTGGCTTTTTACAGTGTACAAGATTTGCTGAAATACTCCTGGTTTCACGCAATGCATTATTTTGAAGTCTACTTGTGAACCTTTTTAAGTGATAGTTTTAAATGGTGTGTCATTTTTATGCTGTCAAGATATCTTTGCTTTTTGTTGTGTAGGTACGTTGTGGAATTTATCATCCTATGAACCACTGAAGATTGTGATTATCAATCATGGCCTTCAGACTCTAACAAATGAGGTCATTATTCCTCATTCGGGATGGGAGAATGAGCCCAATGAGGATTCCAAGCCACGTGATGCCGAATGGACAACAGTCTTCAAAAACACATCGGGATGTCTAAGGTGAATTTTTTATGTTGAAATTGTTTTGTTTTGCATTGCTGTGAGTTTGATTCTGCTTCAGTGTTAAACTTGGCTCAGTTGTTAGCACTCTAGCTTTGGAGTAAAATAGCTTTGATAGTCCACACTGGAACAGGATTTTAGGATAATGTTTCAGGTAGCATTGTACCTCTTGAAGTGCTTTCTTTTAGGATGGATTAAACCCAGCTGCCTATTCAATGCATGATCAAGTCTTTTTGGCTCTTTTGGTGGAAAACCAGGGACTGCTCGCAATCTCCTAGCCAGCAATTTATTCCTCAGCTAGCATCCCCACAAGAGAGAAATTGGTCATTTATCTTGGTTTTGGGATCATCTTGTGTGCAAATTGTGGCTGCCATGTTAATCAAGTACAGTATTTCTAACTCTTGTGTGGACTGCTTTGAGATCTTATAACTTTCCAGAGTTCAGCTGTTTTGTCCACGTTTGAACCAGGGCTGTAATAGAGTTGCCTTGGAAGAACAGAAGCTGGGTATTAGTGAGCAGGTTATTGCTAAACAAGTGCTGCTTTATAGCACTACCGATAATATCTTCCATCACTTTCCTAGTGACCAAGAGTACGCTGAGAACGCAGTAACTGGTTTGGTTGGGTTTGTCTTGCATTTTACGAACAAGATTTGCCTGTGTGATTTTTCACATTGTTAGCTTGATGCCAGTGTTGTAGCTGTAGTGAAACAGCTTGGCAAGGGGAATGGCACAAGTCTTGAGTGCTATTACTGAAATGTTGTCAGGGCCCACAGCCTTTGCAGCATCTAACACCTCTGAACACTTCTTGATATGATGTGAAGTGAATTGAATTTGCTGGGTGCTGTCAGCTGTGATACTGGGGCGCTCTGGAGGATGCCAAGATAGATCATCCACTCAGCACTTTTGGCTGAAGATTGTTCTAAATGCTTCAGCCTAATCTTACACACTAATTTGCTTGACTGCCCTGTTCTTGAGGATGGGGATGTTTGTGGAGCCACCACCTCCAGTCGACAGAGGGAGGATGAATAGCATGTGCCGATGGTTTTATTTTTGTGGAGTTTAGTGTGGAATTAAAAGGATTGTGAAATAGAGATGGTAGATTTTTAATTCAGTTTGCATTATATGTATTAGCTATATTTATTTCATAATTTTATAAATCACGTATCTCAGAATAACTCCAGCCTCTATGAGGAGGGTGTCTTTGGGAAGTTTCGCCTCAAAAGTGAAACGATCTTTACGTGTTTTTCCTTCAGAAGGTTCAAGTTTGGCTGTTCTGCTATTGGATGGTGAGCTCCATTATGTACTGCAGTGCAAAGTTCTGCTAACCAAGACAGTCTTATTTGCTCTTGCATAAGTTTGCAATTATGCACCAATTACTACAGTTATACCAGTGGGATTCGGCTCAATTCACAGCATTCATGCATGATCAATTTCCCCCTTATTGGTCCTCCCTCAAAACCTGTTTGTTTCAATGCAGGTATAGTTTGTAACTCTTAATTCTGATAAAGGAAAGGTAAGCTTGTGTAAGAGCACAGCCTTATTCAATAGTTTATTGTTTAATGAAACTAGACTATTTGCATTTTATTTTGAGTGATTGGGATGGTGCACACCCATAGATTACTTTGGCTTATTGATGTTGACTAATAAAGTCTGCTGTTAGTTATAAATTTCTGCATAATTTTTCATAGAAATCTTGCTTTAGTCCCATTTTGGCGCCAGAGTTACTGTCACTCTGTAAAGTTATAAGTTGTAAATGACACCTGCATAAGTCATTTTACCAATATTTTCAGTAAAGTTGTCTGATGAATGTGATGTTTCGAACCAAATGTTCACATTACTTTTATCCATGTATAGTAAACACTCAGTTAAATGCGCAACAGATGTTCATAATGCTGTATGTTAGATTTGGTAAATATTGTGCATTGAATTCATATACTCCTGTAAACTACTACAGCAAATTTGAGTTTCATTTCCACCTGTTTTCCATCAGTTGTGTTTTTGACTGAATTGCTGCACATTCTTTTAGTGTGTGTTTGTCTCTACTGTATAGTAAGATAGCTCTTTAGCTGTACGCAAGATATTTTAGACAACCAAAAAAGGTGAATAATATTTTTAAAAATTCCTGTAGAGCTGCAGTAGCAGAGTCTGAGAAGAGGTATTTCCTTTTGGCTGAAAAATGTATGTTAGCCATAAACTTGAGACAAAGGAAGAAACCATTCGCAAGATTAGTAAAAAGCTAGTTTTTCAGCCAAGATGAAGATTTACTCAACAGTTTATCTACTGTCATTCCTTTCAATGAATCCGTTGTGCTGCTGTGAACCTGTTTTTAAACTTAAATGAGTCGTGCTAATTCAGTTCAGGAGTGATCAAACAAAAGAAGCATACTTGTATTACAAAGTAATAAACTGGAGTGTTGCATATTTCACAAGTCTGTGCTATCATGAAATACAGCCCGCAAAGTCTGATCTTGTTCCATTGCCATGATGGGCTGAAGGCATTGTTAAAATCCAGCATGCTTCAGCACCTCAGATTTTTGGACTTTTGGAGTAACTGAAATAGCAGCTCAGTTGCAGCCAACCCAATGTGCATAACAATGTGTTCTTATAACATGCTTAAATTGTAGTGTAAAATACATTTTTAAGTGAAGAAAATTAGTAACGCAAGTATTAATTCCCATCTACAGTTGTGTGTATTTCACAATACGGTATTGATGAGCAGCAAAACCAACTTGGTTGCAATCTTGTAGTTATATTCTACTTGGAATTTTTGGAATTTTAAGTCCCAGTGATTTGCGATAGGAGTTGGCAGCTATTACTGCCTTTGCACTAAAATCCAGACCTACAGAAATATCACGGGGAGGAGTGTTTAAAAGCAATTTGTGCTGAATGACTACTGTGTATTTTGTTTGTTTGTGCATAAATCACGAGAGTCGTGTTCGTGTGCTGTAGGATTTTTAAGATTACTTTTTGTTGTTTTGAACTGCCTACTGTGTTAAAGCTCCAAGAGCACTACCATTGCCATGTGGAGGGTGTTTCTTCAGATTTGATAATGCCATATTTCTCCATTGGTTCAAAATCTGGTATTTGGCTTAATTGTTCCTGCACATTAAGATTCCTAACATAATTATAAGACAGCTATACCATAATACACAAGTTTTTTTTATGAGCTATATGCAGAAATGTTTTAGAATCATGTAAGGTGTTATTTTGTATGGATGGGGAGATGAAGGAAAAATCAAGTTATCTATCTGCATTTGTCATACAGGGGTGAGGGTGAAAGATGATGATGTATTTGTTATTGACTAGAATCAGAAATACATTGTGAGGTGGACGGAGGGTAAACCTGAACAGGGAATAATTTATTGTGCATCTTCTCAGCTCCACAGTCAATCTTAAGCTGCCTGTTTAGCTCCTGCTTCTGGGTTAACTGACCCACTGTCTTAAAGGGGCAACATACATCCAACTACATGCATAACAGGAACAAAAACAAAGTTGCTGGAAAAGCTCAGCAAGCTCAGACTTGCTGAGATTTTCCAGCAACTTTGGTTTTGTTCCTGATTTACAACATCCACAGTTCTTTCGGTTTTTACGTGCATAACAGATGTGGTGTTACCTCTTTCCATTCTGTCAAAAAAAAACTCCTGACTACATTAACAAATAGTAACATGAACATGTTATTCTGGAACTGGTATTGGGTACTGAGGCAAGCTTAATAAATAGCCTCAGTAAGAGATCTACCAGGAATTAGTGGTCATAACATGATAGCATTTGAGTGTGAGAAACTTGGGTCAGAAACATCTGTGTTTAACTTAAAGGGAATTACATTGAAATGAGGGTAGAGTTAGCTAAAGTGGACTTGGCAGGTAGATTGGCAGGAAAAACAGTCAGCAAGTAGTATGAGACATTTAGGGAGGTAATTCATGACTCAGCAAAATTGTATCCCAGTAAGGAGGAAAGACTCAGAAGGATTAACCATCCATGACTAAACAAGAAAGTTAAGGAGAGTATGAAGTTGGGGAAAAAACAGTATATACGGAGGCAGAAGTCAGTGGTAACCCTGGAGATTGGGGTAAATTCAGAATACAACAAACAAAAGCTGAAAAGATCAAGGTGAAAAGTTAACTGAGGGCAAACTAATGAGGAATATAAAAACTGGCAATAAGAGTGCTTTAAGCTTTTTTTAAAAAAAAAATGGAAGACGAGTGAAAGTGAATATAGGCCCCTTGGAAAATGAATTTGAGATGTTATGGTGATCAAGGAAATGGTAGAAAGGTTAAGTGTTATATTTGAACTTCCAGAAGACAGATGACAAGGTAACAAAAGGATAAGAGCTCATTGTGTTGGAGGTAATATATTGGCGTGGCTAGAGTATTTGCTTCATGCCCATTAGCCATGAGATTGATTTAAGGTTGGCAACCGATAACCATTGGGAATCGACCCTGATCAGTGCTGGGACTGCAGGTGTTATAGTAATTATATTAATAACTTGGAAGAAGGAAGCAAATGTACTATAGCCAAATTTGCAGATGACACAAAAATAGGTAGAAAGATAAGTTGCAAGAGGGATACCTGGAGTACTGTGTACAGTTTTGATCTCTTTACTTGAGAAAAGATGTACTGACATGGAGGGGGTGCAGAGAAGGTTCACTTGGTTGACTTTGGAGTTGAGAGGGTTGTCGTATGAGGAGAGATTGCATAGACCAGGACTATACTTGTTGGAATTTAGAAAATGAGGGGAAATGTTATAGAAACATGTAAAATTATGAATGGGATAGGATAGAAACAGGGAGGTTGTTTCCTCTGGTGGGTGAAACTAGAACTGGGGGACATCGCCTCAAAATAAGAGAGAGCAGATTTAGGCTTGAGTTGAGAAGGAACTTCTTTGCCCAAACGTTTATGAACTTGTGGAATTCCCTGCCCAGTGAAGCAATTGAGGCTACCTTGTTGATTGTTTTTAAGGCAAAGATCGATTTTCGAGCAACAAAGAAATTGGAAGGTTATGGTGAACGGGTGGTTAAGTGGAGCTGAGTCCACAAAAAGATCAGCCAGGTATTGATAGATTAAGTGGGCAAGTGGTGTGTAATGTGGAAAAAACGTGGTTTGTATTAAGTGAAGAAAAAGCATGGAAAGCTGCAACACAAAGGGAATTGTGGGTATTTGTATGTGAAAAGGGAAGCTCGTACATAAGTGTAGCAAGTAATCAGGGAAGCTAATGGAATGTTGGCCTTTATTTCAAGGTGTTAAAGGAGAAGAGTATGAAAGTCTTACTGCAATTGTACAAAGTGCTGGTGAGACCATATCTGGAGTACTGTGAACAGTTTTGGCCCCTTTCTTTAAGGGAAACTATTATTTCATTGGAAGCAGTTTCAAAATAGAGGCCGATTGATATGTGCCAGTTCTGTGAAGGTAATTTTTTTTAAAAGAAACAAGCCTGCAAGTCATTTTGAACAGTGACCTCAATACATTAATTCTAAAAAAGCTTGTGATTTCGTTGAAGTCCCTGGATGAAGTCCTGTGATTTTAATGGATGGAATGTTTATCTTGCTGATTTCACGGCACCAGAAATCTATTATTTCAGCAGTTCTGAGGAAGGGTCACTGGACCTGA